CTCGCTAAGCTTCATTTGCCCAACCTCCTGGTCGGGTCCGAGTTAATAAAAAATCTTGAGTTAAGAAGCTTGATGCATAGCATAAACCTCTTGGGGTCTCGGAAGAGAGATCGATGGATCACCTATTATAATCTCCATCTCGAAATGGAATTACTGATCTACTGATTGGAAATGGATATCACATAAACCATTGACTTAGGGATTTTCACCTCCCCCATAGAGCAACCTTTCCCAGGTTTCCGAGATTAAGGAAAAACAGTCCTGATTTATCAAGTTTCATAGAAGAAAGGGAACTGGTGACATCTATTGGCTAAACATTGTACGAGCGTTTCTCCTGGACGTAGTTCGCTGGTTGTCACCTTTCTTTGTCCGTTGGTTTGTTTTGGTTGTTTTTCGACTTTTGGAGCAAACAGTTGAACAAACTGAGGAAAAAAGGGAAAAAGCCACCCAAAGGTTAGTAATACGTAAGCATCGATTTCTTGGACATATTTAGGATGCGACTGTCACATTGATTAAGAACTGCATACATCTCAGCCTTTTTGACCCTGCTTCGGATAAAAGTTCTCCACATATGTTGACGAGGCCAGAGGGCAAATTCACACACACATGATAACAAGTTCTCTTGATAATTAAAAACAAAAGTGATAAAGATGAAAATAACTATTACGCTCGTTTAAGGTAGAGGTATACAAGATTATACGCATTATTCATCATTATATGCATATATACACATTACACGCATCGTTTACATACATATATATTTGTCAGCTCAGTTTTTGTCAAGTGAATATGAAAGAAAGAGGATTATATTTGAGACTGAAAAAATCTTATCATCATCATTATTCATTGCCAAATGCAAGAATGTAAATCTTTAGTCCCGGTCCAAATAAAAATCGACCAGCGAGTTTATCATGAGCAATACATAATATATCGAGCTCTCCAATGAATTTTATCCTTTTACCCGGGATCTATCAGTTGAGTAAGATTTCACAAAGTAGAGTGTTCACATAGTCATTGGACGGACTATAATGAAGATAATGAAGATAATGGAAAAGTCGAGAATAAAGGCCAGTGTCGTATTTGATCGTAGACCTTACGCTGAAAAGAAATTTGATCACAAACAAAGTGTGGTTGTGATTACTTGAATTTTACTTGAAAGGTCATTCCTAGTTCTATTTAAGTAGTTACGCTTTAAGTGACCGTTAAATACGGATGGGAGACAATACAAACAGGCCGTTTGATACAGGGTGACCACTTAATACGGTGTCACTTAATTTAAATTCCTTTATATTCGTAGTTAACGACAAAACAGCCGCAGAGACTATGCTTGAGGAGAAAATTGAATTTATGGTATGATATGACATGGTAAGGCGAAATATATATTCAATTCTGGTCATTAGAGTTACTGATAAATCTTTTATTTATCCATTCTTCACGCACATTATTAGTGTATGTTCGCCGTTGGTTAATCAGATGTAATGCAATTCTTAACCAATCAGAAGTCGCATATCCCTCTCATCACCTAAGCTATAATATTAGTATTTCATGGCTCATTTTCCCTGAAAACTTGACTTATTAGCACTCTAGGTGAGCATACTGCTCTTCGACAGCTGATATCCTTTTTCATTATCCACTGAACATTCCAACGCGTTCCTTTACTTAGGCAACTTAAAACATAGGACGTTGTATAAGATCGCAGTGCCCTGCATGAGCTCTTCCGTCGTAATAATTCTAAATAATTCGATATAATCGAAAACGTGGGAACAATTCATTCATAGCAAAAGGTTAGAGATGGTTTTTTTTTTATTCACAGATGGAAATTTCTCAGAATATGAGCTAAAATTTTGGGGTGTTACGTAAGTAAATGAAAATTGATGGTTAACTTCTGAGGACAGAAGTAATAGATTGTTCAAGATAATAAAAGCTTGCTGAATGTACAGATATCATCATTTCCTTTAATCAATTCTGTCTTGTTAAGTAGAGACAACCTCAATTTCACAGCTGATGGACATGGCGGAGCCTAGGTTTCTCTTGTATTGTCATGGCAGTTCGCTTTTGGGAGCTGAGTAGTTATCGAAAATGTTGACATCGCCGTTGGTGGTGTGCGTATGCTCAGCACCAATTGCAATATACAGTTACAACCATGAATGGTTTTAAAATACTGCTTCTCCCGCACAAGTTCTGTTGGGATAAAGTTGTCATATTGCTGCCAGATTCAACCTTTCTCGAGCCAAAAGATTTGATCACGGACTTAGGAACAATGAACCAGATACCTTCCTTATGCAGGAGGTCATTCCCCACTGAGTCCAGAATTTTAACGGCTCAAGAACTGCTCATGGAGTACAGCTTAGTCGTTATTTTACTTGGATGTTTTATCATGGTTTCATCGTCATCAAAAATGGTTCGCCAACTTGAAGAAACCGGAGGTGGATTCCTTTGGTTATAAACAGTGCTTTTGATTGCTTCAGTTTTGGTCGATTGTATGATTGGAACTTGTAAATAATTTGACTCACCTGAGATCAGCGTCTAGAAGTCGTACAATTCAGTGAGGGAACATTTTTATATGCTGTAAAGAGGACATTTTGAAGGAATTCCACTGCGTGAGTGTCAGGTCCTGTAAATGCGAGTGGAAAGCGAAAGAAATATAGAGCACATTGACTGGGGTAATTTGAATTTAGATTGCCTTTGTGGAATTTAGCTGCTGTTTCGTATATTCTTTTTACTTGTTACATATAGAAGTTCTTTCTCTTTAGTGAATTAAATCCAGTGTTTAATTCTGTGTTCAAGACACGTCGTTATATAATTAAAAATAAATAACGGCCGAATGCTTGTCCAATTCCAACTAGCGGGTGCGTAGTAGCGGTATTGACTTCATACTCGCATATGCATATCTTTATGCAACCACGAGTTCTTGGCGAATTTATGTTGAGGAAGAGCGTTGCCTTTCCCATCAGGAATGTCATTTTGGCGTTCAACCAAACTTTAAATACATTAGTCTATCTGTCAGTTGAAGAGCTCTCTAATCCAATCAATTTACATTCACTTTAAATGCAGCTGTCAACTAGTAGTGTGCGTTAAATTATGGTGTTCATGGCAAAACGAGAGTGATACGTACAGGTGCTTCTATTTACCGAAACCGCTTGCTAGTTTTCCATAATTTCAACTAGTTTGGTCTTTCCGATAGAACCCATATAGTGAAAAAAAGGTGAAACAATAAGACATCAACCTAATTAGTTGGGGTCCCGTAACATATTCTTGAAATCAGCAGGTTTTATGCGGCCGATCATCACTTTAATGTTTCATTCTCTTTAGAGTCGATGGTAAGATTCTCCTAGTTGACGCAATGGATACGAAATTTGATGAAAATCGGACAATCAGGTAAATCTGTCTGAGACCGGTCGCTTGGCCTTTACCCATTCTTTTGTCACAATTCACTTCAGTAAAGTTCACAGGTGATTAATGGCCAAAGTAGTTGTTGACAATCCGTCATTCATGCAACTTTTCATAATACGTTTTGCTGCCAAAAAAGAGAAAATCAAATCTCCACAGAAGCCAAATTTACGAGGTGCCCCACTGCGTGGTGCTTGTTACAAGCGACATGAATGCAGTGCATGGGATATCTACTGTTACTTGCGTGCCCACTTCGACTCTTGAAAATTGATCCAACACCGCGACAACTGAAGCGGTTCGCAAACTGAAGTTAAAAGTGCACAAACATGTAAGTCATCGATTTCTAAGTCTCTTTAATGACGAAATTTTGGCTCTTATGCACAAACGTCATATTCCGTCGAGAAAATCCACAGTATACTAATTACAACTTATTTCTTGAAATCGTTATTTGATTGTTTCCATTTAAATAACAAATTCTGATATACAGATGTCTTTTCACAAACAAAAACACAAAAGAAAAAAAAAACGTGGAAGTATCACTTTTCAGGAATATTCCAGTGGAAATAGATATATACAAATTTACGTGCGGGTCTACGTCACCGCACGTGTAACAGCAAGGACTATAAACTTCCATTTATGAACATATAAAGACGAGATATGCTCATAAAAATGTATTTTAAGGTTTCAGGGGTTCCTGTGGTTAACGTCTTGATTTCGGTGGGTTTTGTGAGATTGGAATTGAGTATGATTATTGTGGAAGTGAGACACGATTACCGGTGATTCACCAAGATCGATGATTGCGACCCTTTCTTACGAAAATACGAATTTCTCAACACCTTCCGTCAAATTGATTCGATGTATTATTTGCTGTACAAATTTATGAAACAACAACTTAAAGGATGGGGAAGTGTGTTTATGATCTATATAGTTACTTTACCAATGAGTAAAAACAAGGATCTGTTGTTCCGCAGTCTTAAATAATTAAACCTCTGAGCCATTTATCTTAATGGAAATTTCATCGATGCGGTGCTGTTGCCGTAACCAATTCTAGGCCAGGGCCCGGTTGTATAAAGGTTGGATAACGCTATCCAATTAATAAATCACTATCCAGTGGATAACTGATTGCAACATGTCCTGCGTTATCCACCGTAAAGAGATTTACCCAGTGGATAGCGTTATCCAACCTTCGAACAATCGAGGGCAGGACTTTTTAACTTGTTTGTGTCTTCATATTTTGCTTATGCTAAAATGGAGTATTTTTTTCTTTCATTCAAATTAGTTTGGTTTACCTGAAATAGGGATCGTTTTTCGATCTTGAAAACTTAATTATATGGATCTGCTGTTATCACTTTACCATAATTATTATCTTTAATTACTGTTTTCATTTTATTGGAGTAAAATTCATCAGCCTGGGAAGTTGGCAGTTTTTTTGCACCTGATAAATCTGAAGGTGATGGAAAACAAGTTTCGAAGTTGCAAACCATTCTTCACGTGAGTTCTCAACTCAATAATCCCACAAAACCGCAGGGTACAAAGTACATACACCAAAATGCCGTCAGTGTCCCTTATAACTGATGAACAATGTACAGTTTCATGTTAAGCATCTCGGCGGTTGACACGCATATGAGTTAGTATAATTAAACGTGAATTCTGGGATCATTTTGGGGAAACGACGAAACATCAGGCTGTGAAGGCGCAAGGCAACGAGCGGTTCTGATTCGCACGAATCTGAAGGACTTCGTTCTCTTCGTGAGGTTGCCACTAACTGTTTACCTATTCTTCAAGTACTTTGGCAATGAGTTGCACGTGGAACCGACCAGACCTACCGGTGGTGGCCCACGAACCCTACCCTTTTGTTTTCGTGTGTGTTAATCAATTTCCCTTCTAATTTGGTATGTCGTGTTAGACAGACAGGGGGAACAGCTTAGTGTCAGCGCCCCAATGTCGCGACAATCACAGTTTTCAGCGGTCACGGAAGGTATGAGGTGAGTCTTTCACATGTCGTCTGATGCTTTTTGTCTTCTAATTTAGTTTTATTGTTTTGCCAAAAAACGGTGGAAGATTTCATCCCAATAGAAACTCTCTTTAACCAAAATTTCTCAAAGCAAATCATCAAAAAGCAAACATATAAAAAACGAAAAGAAACCAACAACAAACAAAAATGCAAAAAACAAGTAAGCAGACTGAAGAAAAAACGTACAAAAGATAAAAAGTTTTCTCGAGGAGTGATTATGTCCGATGTCACACATAGAAAAGCTCTCCGAGAATTACAGAAAAAGTTAAGGGTGGAGATCTGGGAAAAAGGCTTGAAACTTGAAATAGACTCTAATTCATTTCTATTCCTTTTGGTGAAAAAAAAAAAAATGAGACTCAAACTTATGGACCTTAGTTGTCATTTCGACGTATTAAAAAAAGAAAGTTAGACGGTTGCAGCCTTGGTAGGATTTTTTCTTTTCTTTTCTTTCTTTTTATTTTTTTGTGGCCTTCTTGGGTACTTGATTGAAGAATGAAAGGTATGAGGTTATTTTTAGTCAGTCAAAGGTAAATTGTTGTCGCCTGTATTCAGTTACAATGCCAGCACGTACAAGTTTAAAACGAGAAAAAACAAATTGAATCATTTGATACCCGAAACTAATTTATACTAATTGCAGTGCTGCCCTACTAACTGGTTTTTCTCTTAATAGGAGACGAAAGGGAGACTTTTTTAGTCAAACCGGTATAGAAAGTGAGTTATTTTGCACTAAATCATTTTGGTCACTAAACTTTTTCTGTTTTCCTATTTAGACTACGCTGTTGACTGTAGCTCCGTTTTTTGATACATGTATGTACAGGAAAGGTTTTACCCTCGTATATACCTATCTCGAACTTTTGGGGCTAAGATGCATAGCTCTGACTGTCTGCAGGAGTACCAAGGTGAAACGTTTTTAGAGTCCCTCCCATCAGAGGAAGTTAGAAGTATTTCACAATAGTGTCATTGGATCTTTAAAGTGATATACGTAGTTACATTAATGAATATGGGCAGATATTTTTCACTAAGGAAATGACACACAATCTATAGTCTTTACCACAGTAACTGTGTATGAGCTGAAAATTAAGGAAATCAGGACGAAAGAACCTTTCGTAATAGATGTGTATGATAAAGATGCATATTTTTGAGTGAAAGTATTTCACAATATCCTAAGCAAACGATACATAGCGAATTTCAATGGAGCTCCTTCTTGACCAACTATAAAGTTTTTGTAATAGGAACTTTTATGGGAACTTTCTTATGACTCCATGAGTACGACTCCTTCACTTTCTTTACGAGGCTTTTCATTTTACTTTGCAATTGAATGTAAGGGAAAGATGACATTTCATAATTGCATTAAAAGCGAACGAAATACGTTAAAGCAAGCGTTTAAGTTCGACAAGTAAATGCGACAAGTTATTTTAGTTGTAATTGACTTAATTTCCTTGATTCTTCATTAGACTTCCTAACCTTATTCATACTGGTAAGATGAATGCAAAGCAACAAAATTTCGATGTGATTGGAGGTGGTAACGAAGTCTTAGTAAGGGAATTCAAAAACCAAGACCTTCACGACTGCCAAGAGATTTTCACCCAAGGAATGGAGCAGTTGATCAGCCTAATAGTGCGTAATGTTTTCCCAAAATATCTTTGGATTTTATCGGCTTGGGGCATACTTGTTTTCGTTCTCGTCATCAAATTCCAATGGACTGCAAACATCTTCTTTCTTCTTGTAATTACTTGTGTCTTTTTTGCTGCCTGGTTGTATCTTATTCTGTATATTGAATGCTGGAAGTTCATCGATTCCTGTTTAGCAACGGACTTAAAGGATATTGGAAAATCCTACATGTCCAGTGAAAAATGTCGCATGTGGGTGGCTGAGTGGAATGGTAAAGTTGTGGGAATGGTTGGACTTATTCACAAGGAAAGTCACAAACCAGAAGTGGCAGAACTTCAGAGGATGTCTGTGTCACCAGCCTGTAGAAGAATGGGAATTGCTAAGAAACTGCTCGACGAACTGATCAAATTCGCAAAGGATCAGCAACTCCAGAAGCTTGTGCTTACCACCACCAGTGCACAAACACCAGCCATTCGACTGTACAAGAAATACGGCTTCCAACTCAGAACCTCTATTCCTTATCCTAAAACGCTTCTTGGCGATTTGCAATACTATCACTTTGAACTCGTGTTATGACATTAGCTGCTTTTCCCTTTTCTCTCTACAAAAGATTCAAATCCTCCTCATAATCAGTAATTTGGTGAATTATCTTCCTTAAACTTTAAAGAAAAAGATTTTTAAGGTAGCGGGTAAACCAGACCTTTGTGAGGGACATTTAAACCTTCCCCTCATGATGAGAAACGTTGCATCACGTAGACAAGAGCTATGCCCGTTGGACATCATGACTGTTTAATTCAATATGAAGGCCAAAAGATATATTCTCAGCTATTGCGACTGCTCTTGCAGATGGGATTATTTTGGGAAGAAAAATGTTCATGGAGTTTCTCTTGTCTACTAAAATTTGCTTAACTCTAATTACCTTGACTTTCTAATATATCACATTCTAACTTCACCATTGCAATTATCACGTTTCAACAAGTTTTAAACGATTATAGAGTTGGATTACAGTCGGTTTGGTTTCCTCCCCACCATTTGTTCGAGATGAAGCTTTTGGTGTTCTCCTCTCGCTCAAATATGACATGGATGGCTTGATAGAAGTTGTCGTATACGCAGATAAGTTGGCATTAGTAAGTAAATGTTACAGGTCTTCTTGGCAAGTAGTCATGAGACAGGAAAGACGCTAAGTCACCGATTGCCACAAATTGACCACAAATTTGACCAAATTCATGAATTCGCCATTGTCATTCGTTTCAATAATCCCCTCAGAAGAAAAAAATGGTAAAACATTAAACACAGACCAAAAATCAAAAAAATGAAACAGAAAAAAAGCAGGGTACAAAGAGGAAAAAAGATAAGCAAACGAAAAACAAATCCCTTACACATTACTTTTGACCTCTTTCACATTTTATAACATGACTACAAGATATCGTTGAAACGTGTATTCGTTTACGAAAGTCTTGACTACCGTAAAATTGGCTCCTTTAAGATTTAGACTGCTAATGTGGAAACACAGTTGGGTAATTGCTTTGTTATTGCTTCGAAATAGAAGCTTCACCATACCTATGATAGGTGCATAATCTTGACTACCTTGCTGGGATATCAGATTTTATCCTTGTTGATACACGATGCAAATTTTGCTGTGCCATGTTAGTGTAAATTTGCGTTGTAAGTACTAAAAAGATTTATCGACATGTATTTATGTGTCCACTTTTTAATTGTAAAGCGGAAATAATCATACTAGGTTTTAGTTAGTCAACGTGATAAATATTAATTTCACGGGCCTAAAGAAGACTAACAGCATGCAGTCGAAATGTCGCGATCCACATCCGAAGTGACAACATCGTGAGACAAACGATCACATTTCCCTTTTGAAATAATGACACTATTTCTATGGCGTGGGATATCTCTGGTACTATTAGTTGGATAATTATAGCACAGAGTGTGTTATTATAAGACAAGGTATCATTTATCCTCTCTTGCATTGGATGTTAAAATTAGAAAAAGCTTTCTGAGGGGAGGGTTTGCAAGTACTAAATTAATTTGTCTTTTTTTGAGAAATTTATTCAACAACAACAGAAAAAACATTTTAACACTTTCTTAAGGTTTGTAAATTGATTGTTTGCGCAGTAAAGATCATTAAATGTACAAGTTTTTATTTCATTGTGTTCGGCTTTGAGTGAAGAGAGCAGAAGGACGAGATGGTCGGAAATTTTCAAAAAATCGATTAAGACCCGAGCCCCCTCCAACAGGTTGAAATCCAACCCGCCCCGTGATACAGGACACCATATGGAGTTCAGGAAGTGTAATATTATTTTTCTTTTCTTCATTGTTCTCTTTAACTTTTCATAACTACTTGTTTGTTCAGCCCGACCACCTTAAGAATTGCGTTTAGGTGGTGACTGGAAGATTACCGATTTGATGAACAATTTGGGAGACAGTCAACTTAGCGAAATGAAAGCAAATCAAATTCAGTGACATCTGCTACAGCACCTTCATTAGCTGATAAATATAGTTGATCACAAGTTTCCAGAAGCTCGAGCGTGCAACCAAAATGAATCTTAAACAGTCACGACCCATTGCTGTCAGAAGGATGCCATCGAAAAACTTATCTCTATTGCTTTTTAAGAATTCTGCATCAAATCTCGTATAAAACAGGCATTGGAGTACTTCGCTTTCGCCTGAAAGGGGTGTATTATTTTGCCAACTAGGATAAAGAGAACCATAAATTATTCTGTTCTCTTTAATTTCGCGTCCATTTGTGGTATTCCAACTGCACGAATACATCAAAGGGTTCAGTCTTTGATCGTTTTATCGTGGATATCACTTCTCTTCAGACAAATAGAAAACCAAGAACCCCTACTTCATACAACGCTGTCAGTGGTAGAGTACAGTCTGATATCAATTGTGGGTACCTTAATCAATGATCAGGGCTTTGCTCTTGCTGCCTGCAATATTGTCATCATTATAGCTAAGTTATCTTTTTATATGTCAATCACTTCTTATCAGTTTGTTGATCTATTTTTTTTTCTCTTATCTCTTCTCTTGGCATTTGCCAAGTCTGTAAACGTTTCCTTGGTAATGATGACGTCAAGCAATCGGTACACGTCTAGAAAACAAACTTCAGCCTCACGTGATCCAGAATAATCTCAGGGATACGTTTCCATTCCTCGTCTGGAGATAAGTTATGAGTACCCTTTTATACATTTAAAGAGTGAATCTAGATTCTTTTTATCCTAGCGTGCACAACAAAAATTCGCGTGGTGCATCGAGAAACAACCATTTTAAAGAAGTCACGAGACGCCAGGCTTTAAACAACAGCATTCGACCTTACCGTGACCTCTTCAGTGGCAATTAGTGAGGCAATCTCTATTTCGACAGCTTCAGACGGGATCACCGGAAAGGAGATCTTTAACATAAGCGACGTTACTGGGGCTTAAGTGGATCTTCCTATGAGGTCCTTAGTAACAGCCATGTATTTTAAGTACAGACGTATAGCTTAGAGAGCCAAACGATTACCAGCTAAACTTAAACAAGGGACATTTCAGTTGTGGAAACCATCCAATTCAAACACTGCTTGCCACTGGCGATTGACCACACAAAGCGAACTACTCGCCAGAAAAATTGTCAGACCTGAGGTCGAATAGGGTTTCGGTGCAATTTCGTGTAGAAAAAAAGATCCCTTTTCTTAAAAAACAAACAAACAAACAAACAAACAAAAAAACAATAAAGCCATAAAGTCGCCTGTTCATCGTTATTATTTCAACGCGATGGCATGCGAAGACGACCTCAGATTAGGGAATGTCTTGATTTATTTTTTTTTCTGTTTCCTTAACGATGGCTATTACGCAGCCAGTATAAAAGTGATTGGATAGAAAATCTGATAGATTTTTTTTTGTGGTGGCGAGTCAGTAATTAAGCAAGCATGTAATTAAGCACACAAGCAAGCAAGTGCTATTGTATTTCTCGATGTCTTCATACCGAGCTTACATCTAATTCCTCGTTCTTTAGCCCGGCCGCTTCCACCCTTGACCTATGAACCTGGAAAGCCATGTTACTCAGAAAAAAAAGGAAAGGCACAGGTCCTAAAATTGACTCTTAGAGTATACTTTGCTCCACAGCCAATTGTCCGGATATGGTTTTCTCTAATGAGATCTATCGCTTTCTCTCAGACAAATGAGATTTAAACCAGTTAACTTAACAAACGAGGGGGCTACACCTTAAATAGACAACTTTTTGGGAGGAGCTTGAGATATGTAGAATGTCCTGATCAAAGGGCTGTTTGTAGATCATGCAGAAGTTGTTATTACATAAGGAATCCACGCAGTCGAGAGCTGACCAAGTGTTTTTCAAGAATCTTTGGGGAGACATGTAAAACAGATATTGCGAGGTAATATTTTGTTGTTTTGCCCGCTTTCAACTGGAATTTAAAGGTGGTAAAGCCGTGAGTTGTTAGAGAGGCCATACATCTATTGCATACGCCAAAAATATTTCCAGCTTCTTTTATCATTGACAAGAAAAGCAAAGTTGCTTGTTAAAACAACCTTTTGCCATTTCCCTTGGAAATCAACTCGGCGGTTGATATGCGAAAAAAGCTGGCATAATTTCGGGAGCGGGATCGTACAAATTTGTGGCGTTATGCCACGGCTGTTCATTTGTTTAAGCGTAATCCATCGCATGAAAGAAGGATACATGTTACGAAATTGCCAATGATAACTGTCTGTCTGTCCGTCAACGACCCAGGCAATGATAGGCAATGATTCACTCGTGCAACAGACCAGAGTGCGAGAAGGTGGTCCACGAAATGACCTTTCTCCAAAGGCTTCTGTGTTCATCAATGTCTCAAATATTTTGGGATGTCGTGCCTCAATAAACAAGAGCAGCGGCCTAATATTAATGCCCTAATGACGCGACGATCTCAGAGTTCTTAGTCACGAAAGAATCTTTCACTCGTCTGCTTTTGCCTTAGATTTAGTAGTTGTTGTTTTCTTCTCTCCAATCTCCATTTCTTGTTCATGTAAAATGGTAAAATATATAAGAGAAATTAGAAAACAAAGTGGATCAAAGTAATTATAGCCTTAAAAGAAATAACTAAAATTTTGAAATTAATTCTCCATTTAACAGGCAACCAGTGCAAAGAACGTAAAACTGGTGTTATATAACAGACAAACTAACCTGGCTGCTGTATTTTGAATTCTTTGCAGCTTAGCTTATTTAAATAAACATCAGGCACTCTAAAAAGAAGGCTATTACAATAATCTATTCTTCCCATTACTAATGCAGAACTAACATTCCTAACGCACCTTAAATTATGTAAAAAATAAAATGCTGCATTACATGTTTTATTAATATGTGTAGTCAGACTCACGTTCGCATCGAACCATGTTCCTAAGTTCTCTGCAACATCTGTTGGAGTTACTCTAACGTTACCAGTAGGTAGATGGTCGACTTTAACTTTCACCAACTGCTGTCTAACAACAAGAATAGTAATAAGAATGCTAATAACCCCAATAATGATAGTGATAACGATGACGATCGAAATTATGATAAAAATAAAGATCCACATACCTGTTGTCCACAATTTTTTCTTGTGAGATTAGCATTTATGAAAATTTTTCATTACGTAATTATAATTGAGTTTGTACTCTCTGTGCTTTTCAGAGCTCTATCAAAACCCGTAATTCAAACAACTGAAATAAGTGAAGATCGAGACTGAAATCTCTTAACTTAGCTCATCTAATTTAAGAGACTCAAACCCCGTATGTTTTAGTTGCTCAGCAACTAAAACGGTATTAAACCACCGTGTGAAAGACATGTTATAGCGCACGTAAACCGCTCCTATGCTTTTAGCGGAGGTTTCTACGATGTTGAGTTCTTTGATACTTGATAAAAGTATGAATGGCATGAAGTTATTTTAGGCAATCAAAGGTAAATTGTTGCCAGCCTATATTCAATTACAATACCAGCACGTACAAGTTTAGAACAAGAAAATCCTCATCGAATCACCTGATATCCGAAACTAATTTCCTTTACGCTCACTTTAACGTAAACTTCTGCTCTGCTAGCTGATTTTGGTACAGGAGGCGAGAGAGGGAAGCTTTTTTTTGCTGAAGACAACGTAGAAAGTGAGTCATTTTTCAGTATATTCTTTTTGTCTCTGGTGTATCTGGTGTATCATTTTAGGACTAAACTATTGACCGTAACTCTGTTTTTTGCACATTTATGCGCAAGAAAAGTTCTGGCTGAGATATATTTTTCAAACATTTGGAGCTTAGTCACACAACTCTTACAGACTGCTAGAGCAGCGGGGCGAAACATCGTTAGAGTAGTTTCCATTTGGATATCTTGGAAGTATTTTGTGGAAAGGCAACTGGATCTTAATGATATTCTGTGGATACATATCAGCATACGAGAAAAGGTTTTCCATGGAGAGAAAAAAAAACCACATGATTTATTGTCTTCACCATTGAATGTATGTGGATCGGTAACCAAGTTAAAGGCAGCCATCGCAATAGGGGGTGAACTGAAGTTATAAGGTTTTAAGCAAAGCTTTGCAGATTCCACAGGCAAATAATTGTGTAATGTATTGTAAAGAAGTTAAATCTGGACTGATTTAAGATTTAAAGTGGAAAGATCGATTCTGAAATCCCTCTTGTTAGAAGACTTTTTGAACAATGGATGTCCTCGTCAACTTCCTTCACTCAGCTTACCCTTCGGAAGGATTGCATGCTCAATTCCGCCAGCCGCTATATTGCAAGCCGGCTATCAACTGATCGCATGGAGTGAATTGACAAATAAACTGCCTTAGGAGCGAGAAAAACTGATACAAAGTAAGTAAATGGCACAAAATATTTCATTTCAAGATTAAGCCAATTTACCTTGTCTCTTTAATAGACTGATAGACATCACCAACTTATGCTCACTGGTAAGATGAATGCACAGCTGCAATCTTTCGCTTTACCTAGAAGTGGTAATGAAGTCCTGATTAGGAAATTCAAAAACACAGACCTTCACGTCTGCCGAGAGATTTTTACCCATGGAATGGAACAGTTGATCAGCCTAGTAGCACGCGTTGTTTTCCCGAAATATATCTGGATTCTATCGACATGCAGCGTCGTTGTTCTCGTTCTTGCCCTCGCAATCAAGTGGATCGTAAGCTTTTTTCTCCTCTATATGATTGCTTGCGTCGTATTGGCGGCCTCGTTGTATTCAATGCTGTATATGGAATGCTGGAACTTCATCGATTCTTGTTTGGCAACGGACCTGAAGGACATCGATAGATGCTACATGTCTAGTGAAAATTGTCGCATGTGGGTGGCTGAGTGGAATGGTAAAGTTGTGGGAATGGTTGGACTTATTCACAAGGAAAGTCACAAACCAGGAGTGGCAGAACTTCAGAGGATGTCTGTATCACCAGCCTGTAGAAAAATGGGAATCGCTAAGAAACTACTCGACGAACTGATCAAATTCGCAAAGGATCAGCAATTTCAGAAGCTTGTGCTTACCACCACTAGTGCACAAACACCAGCCATTCGACTGTACAAGAAATACGGCTTCAAACTCAGAACCTCTATTCCTTATCCTAAAAAGCTTCTTAGTGATCTGAAACACTATTGCTTTGAACTCGAGTTATGACCCTGGTTGTTATTTCTTCCTCTAAACTGTCCACTATGGATTTGGATTTAACTTGTCATCAATATTTAGGTGAATGTCCTTGCTACACTCCTTAATGAAAGAACGGAGAGGTAAGCTAATTAATTCTGACCATATCTAAGTTTTCAGCAGCGTCGAATTATTAAAGCAAATGGTGTTTTTATTGATATATGACAATTTTCTCATCCTGAATTCAAAGCGCATAACTCAGTAATAAAATCTAAAACTCAAACATATTCCTTCAGCTATTGTGGTGGTCTTGCATTTGGAGTTAGGTGGTAAAAAACATGCATTCATTCGCATTATTTTACTCATATTATTATTACGTTTTAAAAAGTGAGACTTAGATTAAGGTGGGCTACCTTACCTGCTCTACTCGCTTTACTTTCCACAACATGAAGGCCTTCCATCCTCTTGGCGCAGATTCGGCATAGATAGCTTCATCAAGTCGTTACTGAGAATGGATTTCATTTCTCCCACTTGATCGAAATTTCCTGTACTTTCAAATAAGCTGTGATAAGTGAGTACACAGAGTAGGTATTGTTGGCCATTGGCCAAGCTACAGAAAAGAAGCCAAACTGCATAGTCTCAGTATGCGAGATTTACAAATTCCTGACCACGTTCAACTAACAATTAACTCTAAATAATTCCCGTGAAGATTCTTCATCTTCTTCCATCCTTGTTCCTTCTTGTCATATCAGTGCCCCCTTTAAGGTTTTGCGATCTTGTTGAACTGTTTGTTCCAAAACGTCGAGTATGAAATCAGTTTTCGATGCTTCCCCCCTCCAAGAAAAAAATATGAAATACTATAATTGATTAAGCTGCTTTATGGGGATTGAGACAATTCATGTGGAGACGAAGCTGGGTGATTTTGTTTTTCCGGCTTAAAATAAAAGCTAGACCTTCCTGGTGATGGATACATAATCCTTACTATTATCTTAGTTTAAATATAAGTGGTTTGTTTTCATTTTTATATGTGGCAAGTATAGAAGTGCGATTTTAGTGTGCACCTGGATTGTATTAACAAAATGCGATTACATAATTATTATGAGTCCATTGCAAAGCGGAAAATTTTGTTATTTTCAATGACTAGGGAATTTTCGGGAACTTTTTAGTAAATATAAGACAGAATATGGCATCAAAATTACGAAAGAAAGATGTTTCTGGTGTTGGGGGTTGATATGTCGAAAACTTTCTTTGTAGTTATGGAGAAATGTCAGAAGAAATGTTCTTAGTAATTACTTCCTAATTATTTTATGATACATTTTATGCGCACAGTAGAGTTTAAAGGATGGAAATAAATAGTCAAATTCGAAATGCATTTTACTTGGTTTTGAGTTTTGGAAGTAGAGAGGGAAGGTGACGAGAGATATAGGAAGAGCTGAATTTTCAGAAAAACTCTTGTTAAACTCAGCCCCTTACGACAGGCTGCAGTGACACCAACCCATTGGTTAGGAGTTGCAGACTCAAATGTTTTTAAGTCCCAGTTGTAACCTTGGGCTTGAAACTCCAAAGCTTGGAAGTATATGTTACAATGATTATTACAGTAACGCAATGAACACGTCGTTAACCGATGCAACCACGTGATCTGTCACGTAATCTATCACGTTGTCAGTCACGTCAATGATCATATTCATGGTCAATCAAATGACTAGAGGACGACAACGTTCAAATGACTCAAGTGTGACAACATTAAGATGTCACGTTACAATGACGTCATTAATAACGTAAGTGACACGTCATGAAGTAACACACTGGACTTGACAACGACCACGTGGTCTGTCACACCATCTGTTACTCTAGTACTCACTTTCATGTGACTGATTTTGACGTGGCGTCAACTTCCTACCAGTGTAAGTTCATGGCCGTCTTCGTGAAAGAAGTCAAAACATATAGTTTGAATTCTTTTCGGCTCAAACAGAAGTAAGAACAAAATTAAAGGAATTAAAAGTGAGTTTGTAAATGATACGCACCTGCTACATGAAACGATAGAAATTTAACAAAAAAGGCATCACTTTCGTTCTTGTTAGCTGTTAGAAATTGTGAGTCATTTTGCCTAGTTTTTAGCATTGCTTGACGACGTTAGTCTAACCTTAATGCATTTATGTTCCATTGTTGTCAACTTTCACGAATTTATTATATGTTATAGTCCAAATCAGTTTTCACACTCACGAGTTTGTTACAGGTAGAGCCAAATTTTATTTCATCTAGGTCTTTATTACTTTTAGAGTCAGTTGTTACATTTCGGTCTTGGAATGAAGTAATACCGATTCTTTCTTTCATGTAATTTTCACATATACCTTTGGGATATGTTCAATCAGACACGAGTTGAATTGGGGTGACTGGAGGATTATTACATTGATGAAAATTTGGGAAAAATATTAACTCGGCGTAAGGAAACCCAGTGAGACTTGTTTACATTTGCTCATGCACCGAAGTAGAACCGCGACTAGTTGTGAAGGAAGGTCATCACAAGTTCACAACAGCTCTGTAACGAAAGTCTTGCAACACACTTAAAGAAATGAATGTATTTACGGCTCATCATTCATTCCCTTCATGATATAAACAAGCTTTATCTTTCGGTTTTTTTAGGCTTCACCTGCGTCAAGTTTCACATCAACAAAAGCATTGGTTTACCTCTAAGTCAGGATTAATAGGACAGTTTGATATTATTTCGCAACTTAGGGTAATCACAGCTATGAATACCTGCTAATGTCTATTTTGGTTTTCCGGCGGGAGACCGGAAAGCATTATGCCTTCTAGTCACTTCACCTCTTAAATTATATCCCTTTAGACAAATAAGGAAACCAAGAACCCAAACTTCTTGAAACATTGCCAAAGAAAACTTCAGTTTCAGCGGAAAAGTTTGTCCTGCGAAGTAGTTGAGAATTATTTCTGCAATGAGTATTGATTGATCGAAGCTGCAGCGAAACATGTGTCAAAGTTATCGCTATGTTATTATTTTTAAATGCACATCACTCACCAATCATCGGTGTAATCTCATTTCTGCTCGTAACCTCCTTTCTTCCCGTATTGCAAGACCTTTGTCGTATCCATGGTGATGATGACGTCAAGCAATCTTGGGACCCAAGAAAGATCAATCTACAGTTGAAGGAAAATACACTCATAGAAAATTCGTGTTTCTCGTTTTGATGTTGAAAACAGGGTTATGGAGATAAGTGTAGCGACACAAGAACCCTTTCACACTGACAAAACGTGGGAGAGGCTTTCTTTATGTTAGCGTGCATGGCGATTGCTTGCGTGTTGCTTCCTCGAAAATTCCCGAAACACCTAGTTGAAAATAACTGCACTTGACCTTACACCGACCTTTTCGGTCGTAAGTGGGGAGCGATTCAAAAATAACGTGTATCTTGGCACCTCCAGACGCGATCGCCAGAAACAAGATCATTTTTGAGAGGGATTACATATTTTCACGTCACTGGCACGGGGCACTGACGCAAGTGGATCTCTCTTTGCGGTCTAAGGGTAACATACTTAAGAAAGTCGCATATCCTGGAGCAAGAAGATTGAAAACCGAACTTGAAGAGGAGATAGAGTAGCGAGGATATTCTAACTGTAGTTATGGACACTACTCGTCTAAAGCACAGCGTGCCGGTAGCCATAGATCGCACAACACGAACCAATACCGAAGACTTTGAACGGCAATTTGACATCCGTTCTACGACAGGCCGAATTCGACTTGAGAGACTATACGGAGCTCCGGAGGTCCTTCTAGAACTCGCCATGCTTGTCATAGTCCTGGGGATTTCCCTTGCGGTTTGTCTCGTGAGACACAAAGTTTCAAACTAGGAATAAAGCCTTAGGAAAAGAGGCTAGTGCCATGATGACATAGGAATTCCATACTCCGGAGTCAAGGAGGATTTCTCCGGAGAACTCTAGAAATTGAGAACAGAAAGAGGATAATGTGAATAACAACCACGCTTCTCATATTGGAACAGCTACGTAGGAAATGCTCTGATGGCTTGAACTATCACTGAACAGCTGTTTTCAAGTTACGCAGTGTAAATCATCTCGTATCATCGCTGCTCCTGCAACTGACTGAGAACGTATCATAAGAAAAAGGAACGAACGTGTTGGAATAAAAAACACGTAACCTTTTAATAATGGTCCTCATACAAAAGTCACCTCAAAAGCCACGATAACGAATGTTTCATAACTGTGTATTTTCAGATGTTTCGATACATTATCTGCCTTTTCTATGGAAGTGTACGAATTCCCCCTTTCTTTAACCAGTGCTTTTCGTTTCGAAAATTGTAGGGCCTACTGATGCAGCATAAGATGCATGTACGAGCGATGAAACACATTCCATGGGTAATAAAGTTTTATGAAGGAAATGGTCAAGAAATGTGTCGTCTTTGTTTACCTTCGTAACCTGGATTTATCCATCCCATGCGCACCGCTTGAGCCCGTAAAAAAATTAACAAACAAACAAACAAACAAACGAGAAAAGCTGAAAAAAGAAACAATAACAAAAAACAAAAAAACAAAACAAAACAAACAAACCAAAAGAAACAAATCGATATTTCAATATATTTTATACCTGCAAATCTGCGAGTTTAAGCGAGAGTTGTAAAATTTAAAATGTGATATTGAAGCTCGTCTCAATCTTGAGAAATTGTCAGGCATTGGGTCATATTGCATTGCCGTAAGTGGCTCTTGCATCGCAAGAAAGGAAGAGAGAGAGAGAGAAAATTAAAGAAAAAATTAAAGGAAAAAAAACGAAAAGGTGGACCATCAAATAAATTGTACCTACAGTAAAATGCATCATTTCCTCTTTGATTAAGTCAAACTAACACAGTCGAACCTGTATTGAGCGTTCACCCTGTGTTAGGCGTGTCGGTTATCAAAGTCCGAAATTTGTTTCTCCTCAATTACTGTAATTTTCACCTCTACTAAGCGGTCACCTTTATTGAGCGGTCGTGGTCACCCTTTACTGAGTCGCAACGGCCTGTTTTTATTATCTTCCACCTGTGATGAACGGTCACTTAAAGTGGAACCTCTGGCCTGGAAAGTACTTGAGGTTTATAGGAGTTCCAGTGCTTAGAATTAATTCCTTTTGACCTGTCGTTAGGGAACATCGCCAGATCGCTTTACTTGACGCTTCACTAGATGCTTGGGCCTATGGAACAAGACTGTGCTGAACTTTGTTTAAGTGTAGGGGGGAGGTGGTCTTATCAGTGGTTGTTCTTTTATTTTACGCGTGAACGACCTTATTCATTGAGGGACATTGAAAAACTCTTTTCGTCAATAGGCACTCTTCTTTTTTTCACAGAAATGTCTCTGAATAAAATTTGTCCAAGAATACCAGATAGTTTTCCAGTCGAGTTTTACTGAATCAGCAGAAAGCGAGAGAAACTTGAAAAAGAAGTAACTTGTTACGTTAAAAACTTTAAATTTTAAATGTTCCATGCAGAACAATATCATCCTCTGAGTGTGCAAAATTGCTGATTAATGCTAAATTTCTAAATCGCTATAAGATTTGCATTCTACAGCTCTACTTAATCCTGGAATTTAAAGGTTGA